TCAAACAATCAACTCACTATCGTTTCCTTTTTTCCTGAATAGTGGTCCTTTCCCCCCTTCTCTCTCTTTCGAAAGCTGTGAGAAGGGATTGCTTTCTGCTACTCACTCAGCGTCCTTAGCCAGTCCATCCCATTGCTAAGACCACATGCCTCCCTTAACTTTGTTAACTGCTCTTTACAAAACTCCTTTTGAATCAGTGTGTTGCTTCACTGGGAATCTCTTAACTGGCAGAAGAGACAAGTGTGCATAAAGCCCCCGCCCACCGCTGGCACCCAAATGCGCCCCCCCCACACTTCAATTTTGCTAGCTTCTGGGTTACTGAAAAGAAAAGTCAACTGATTGCTAACTGATAGTGTTCTGCGTTCCGGTACTTGCATGCACTCGAAATTACCCCAAACAGAGTTCGGAGATGGGAGCATTAATATTTGCAATTAAAATTCTGCCGACTGGATGGTAATTTCGTTTTCCTTTTGGCAATGGACGAGGAAAAAAAATTAATTATATCTAAGTAACAAATGGGAAACTTTTCCCTAAGAAAATGAGCCGAAGAGAGAATTCAGTCACCCCAAATACTTAGAAAATCGCTTGATTCGAGCGTTGAAGGTTTAATGGGGATGCTTTGGCTGTTGAGGCAGAAAAGGGAATACACTCTGTTTTAAATGAGGTTTTGAAAGAGCAGTCGCGGACGTGACCCTTCGTGCCTGTTCCTCATAGGCTCCAAATATCCCTTCTCCTTCTCCACAGACACGAGAAGGATCAACTTGGCCATTAAAAAATGAAGAACTGTTAATGACCTGTTCAAGGCTGCCTTCCCTCTTAGTATTTCTTATCTTTTTGCATTTTTATAAAGACTACAAACTGCAACAGAAATAGGGAAGGGGACTACATTAAGGGATAAAGAAAAGATACCCACTACTATCTAAAAACCCAAGAGAGGAGATCATCTAGTTAGCTTGGCACACGTTATCTCTCAATCACGCTAATCTCCCATTATGAACTGATTCAACAAGAACTCCTTGTGGGCGCTCCATGAAATTCATGAGCCGTAGGCTTAGAACAGATAAAAGGAAGAACTTCTTCACCCAAAGGGTGCGTTCAGACGGGGCATTTACAACGGTATAGGTGCCGGTTGGAATCAGTGTACTTACCGGCATTCACACGCAGAACATCTGCCTTCCGTCCCTAACCGTTGCAAAGAGCTTTAAACCGTTGTATTCTGCCACTAGGTCCCTAATTGGTGGTATCCTGAGTGCACCGGTTGTAACCGCTTTACCCCCGCCCCCGTCTGATCGCTCTCCACCGTTGTAGAGCCACTTCCGTTCAGAAGCCCGAGGCTTCCGCTTTTCGCCCGCCATTTTTTTTGTTAGGTCGGCAATATGCGCTTGGACGAAGCTTCGCCCCAGCGTTTGTTTAAAAAAGAAGAAGAAAAGGTCATTAGTTTAAGGTTTTAGAGGAGTCCGGGACCTCAGGGAGGCCAGTTTGCTCTTTAAAACTCTCTTCAGGGCATGCTTTTCTGGACAGGGTGTTTCGCGCATGTGTGAAGATCGCCATTCTGTGGATGGCTGCCTATGCGCATGCGGAAACTGAGTTTAAAAAAAAACAAACCGCCGACGCCCGCTGTGTGTGAACGGGCATACAGCGATGGGCTCCGCAGACAGGAAGAAAGTGTGATCGTGTTTCAGCCAGCATAAACTGCACCGGTTGGAACTGGTGCAGTTTATGCCGGCTGAAACGCCCTGTCTGAACGCACCCAAAGAGCGATTAACACATGGAATTCACTGCTACAGGAGGTGGTGCTGGTGGCTACAAGCATGGACAGCTTCAAAAGGGAATTAGATAAGCATATGGAGCAGAGGTCCATCAGTGGCTAATAGCCACAAGGTATAGATAGGGGCTCTGGGGCAAGTGATGCTCTGTCTTCTTGGTGCTTGGGGGGGGGTCAACAGTGGGAGGGCTTCTAATGTCCTGGCCCCACTGGTGGACCTCTTGATGGCTCCTGGTATTTTTGGCCACTGTGTGATAGAGTGTTGGACTGGATGGGCCTTTGGCCTGATCCAACATTGGCATCTCTTATGTTCTTATGTTTTCTTTCTGACCCTGTAAATCAGAGCATGGTGCCACAGGACACAGGATTTAACGGGCTAACTAGTGCCACCACCCCTTTGTGCAAATATCTGATTATGTGCAGGTTCTGAACATCTTCCAGGCTGATCGTATAAACTGAGAAACACCTCCCCCAAAGTTGTGTACAGATCAAAGTTTCCTTTGAGGGCCTGTGTAATAGCAGCCAAGAGACCAAGCATTGGACCTCAAGCTTGAGGAGGAGGAGGAGGAGGAGGAGGAGGAGGAGGAGATTGGATTTATACCCTCCCCTTCCCTCAGAGTCTCAGAGTGGCTTACAAATCTCCTTTCCCTTCCCCTCCCCACAACAGACACCCTGTGAGGTAGGTGGGGCTGAGAGAGCTCTCTCAAGAAGTGCCCTTTAGAGAACAGCTCTGAAAGAACTTGTAACTGACCCAAGGTCACACCAGCAGCGACACGTGGAGGAGTGGGGAATCAAACCTGGTTCTCCCAGATTAGAGCCAGTGCTCCTAACCACTACACCAAACTGGCTCCAGAAGGTGATGCTTTTCTGAGCATCTGATGTCAAGGGAAGACATCTTTCTGACTTATACACAAGACTGATGAACACATGAAGCTAGCTTCGACTGAGTCAGACCATTTGTCTATCTAGTTCAGTATTTATTCCAACTGGAAGTGGCTCTCCATGGTCTCAGCAAGAGGTCTTCCACCTCCTACTACCTGGGCTAGATAATAAGCAGTTGACGTACCGTCAAACACCCCATCAGGCTCTGTTCGAAGGGCCTCTGGAACGCTCTTGGGTCACCACACCAGTCCAAGAGCTCCGTAGCTGCATTGTGGAAGTTGGCCGGATTCTGTAAGTGCTGGAAGAGAGGAAATTAAACACAGTTAGACAATGACTCACCGTCCAATAACGGGGTACTTTATAAGCGTGGCTGGCATAAGCAATGGGTGCACAGCATATAATCTTCTCTTTCCGAGGGGAACCAAAACCTGTAACCGATATCAGAGCAACCAGTCCAACTCCGGCTATCTGGAATAACTCAATGTCAACCTTTTTGCTTTGGGCAACTGGACCTAACTGCGTTGCTGACGTGAACCCAGCTGTAAAGTTCTAAGAATTCACACTACAACCCTCCCTCCCAAAACTAAGAAACAAAGAATCGAGTAAAAAGAAATAAACACAGGTTGTCCATGATCATGAACAGAATTTCGATGCAGAAACAAATTTATAATAAGGGGAGAAATATGCAGGTACTATTTCATCCAGTGACGGACCCAGGTTATTGAGTGCTGGGGCAGACAATTTCCTATGGAAGCAGCTAAGAGAGAATTGTTGAACACGGCATGAAAGAGTGACACCATTGAAACTTGGAACATCATTACTAGAATAGTATTAATGGATGATCACCAATGTTCCCTCTAGGCTGTTTGTTTTTTTAACTCAGAAGGCATGTTTGGTCCTGTTCACATAGAAGCAACCCTAGAGGTGCATATTAAAACTTAGGAGACCTAGCCCATAAAGAAGTTGAATAACATCATGTTGTTCCTATGTTGTTCTTTGTTCCTGAAGAAGGACCAGGAGTCTGAAACACTATAAACTACCTAGGAAAAGTGTTGGATCTCTTCTCTGGACATGACTGTTTCCCTTCATGGATTGTGTGGATTTTTCATTCCCATATGTAATATTTGTCACTGATATTGCTAATTATATGCTTCTTTTCACTTTATTGAAGTCTCTTTTTGTACATTTATACTTGCGGGTATTTCAGCTCACAGTTGTTTTGTTCCTGGCTATATTAGACGGTGTGCTGTATTGTTTGTTGCAAGTGCTGTGGTTTGCCTGTTAAATCCCCCATTAAGACAAATATATTCAATTTATGTTAACGGCATGCAAACACAGCACACAGATTGTCTAAATGCCCCACTTGTGCTACATATCTAGTACAGTCCTGAGCACCAATCCCATTATTTGGAAGAAGAAGGAGGAGAAAGGTTTTTTTACCCCACTTTTCTCTACTTTAAGGAGTCTGAAAGCGGCTGACAATCACCTTCCTTTCCTCTCCCTACAACAGGCACCTTGTGAGGCAGGCGGGGCTGAGAGAGCTCAGAGAGAACTGTGACTGTCCCAAGGCCGCCCAGAAGGCTTCATGTGGAGGAGGAGTGAGGAATCAACCCCGGCCCTCCAGATTAGAGTCCGCCACTCCTAACCGCTGCACCATGTTAGCACTAGATTTTGCTTTCCAATCCTTACACAGTGTGATGGCCTTTCACTGGGAATCCCTGCTCAAGTGTGGATACGGTGGCCAGTCCCCAGTTAGGGGTGGGGGAATCCCCCCAGTTTTGTGGGCTCCTGCCTGCTGCCGGCCACTTGGCCGGTTGGAGGAACCCCCCCCCAACAGCAACATGTAGCGACGTGCCTGCGTCACCCAGAAGTGACGTAGGAACGTGGAGGGGGGACGCTCTGGTTTTGGGCAAAACTCCATGGTTTGAGGGTGATTATACCATAGAGTTTTGGCCAAAAACCAGAACGTCACCTCCGACAGGCCTATGTCGTCACTTCTGGATGACATAGGCACAGCGCACGATGTCACTTCCTGGCATTGGCATGTCAGGGGTGACACTTTTGGCTCCCGGAGCATCTTCCTCCCCCATCTCCCCCCCAACTAGGGCTGCCAAGTGGGGGCGGGGGGCGGGTAAACCCCCGCTTTGGAGGCCCGATTTCCGTCGCCGCGGAATCGGGCCCGGGGGGGATCCCCCCCGAAGCGCAGCGTGGCTGCGTCACAGGAAGTGACGCAACCACGTAGATCATGTTGGGGGCGTGGCCCCAATCATCGGAGGGGAAACTATGGTTTTCCCTCCAACGATTGGGGCCACGCCCCCAACATGTTCTATGTTGTGCATCACTTCCTGTGACGTTCTGGCAGTGCGCGCGCGTGCACGTCCCTCGGCAGCTCCCGGACCCCGGCGACGCTCCCCCGCCGGTGAGTCCAGTCGACTTGGCAACCCTACCCCCCACTGGCACCAACCCTAAGTGCGAAGCTTACTGAGAACCTTAGACTGCTTCCATTATGTCTTAGGCCAAACTTAATGGAAGATAAAATTGGAAGGGGGAGAAGAGATGAACGGAATGGCTAACTTGACCTTCTTATAGGAAGAGCAGAGAGATAAGTGAAAAATAAGACTGGGAAAGAAAAATGGGAAATCCCATAAAACAGCATGAAACAGAAGGCAATTATTGCACCAAGATATGCCCCAATGAAGGTTTGACTCTCAGATAGCTCACATCCCTCCCAAATCTTGTTCCTCTTGAAGGTGCTACTGGACTCGTCCGGCTGTTCAGACCAACATGGCCGCCCTCTGAAAGTACAGAAGAGAGTTCATTGCTCTTCTAACCCTGGTAGGAAGGAGATTTTTTATCTCCTGTTATGCCTCGGAGGATGAGCCGAATTCTGCAGGAAACCTGCAGAGCTAATGCCCTCTTCACTATCTCATTCTCCACAGGACCAACCAAATCACATCCCTGTTCTAAGGAGATCAGTTTCCACCCTTTTACATCAAAGTATTCTTAATATGAAAATGATAGAGAAATGGAGCAAATGGAAAGGACTTTGCCTTCCAACCTCTACGTAATTTGCCATAAAACTCTGGGAGGAAAAAATACCAGGATTTTGACATTCCAAACTACGCAAACATTTTCTACAAAGATATTACATCTCAGTAGCCAAACATCTATTTATTCCAATCCTTTGACATTCACGCATTACGTTTGAACGCACTGATCAACAAAAAGGGATATACTGCACATCTATCTAGCACCATAGGTGGGCTACCTACACCACAGGCTTAAAATTGGTTTATCAATCGTTCTATCAAAGGAAAGCCAGGGATTTAGATTCCTCGAGAACTTTGACACAGAGTTGAAATCATTCAACAGTGATTCCAAATATATTATAACTCCTCTCCCCAGAAGTCAAAACTGACTTACTGAGACCTTGTGGGGGTTTCAAGGCAAGAGAAATCCATAGGCAGTTTGCCGTTGCCTGCGTCTGCGTCACAACACAGGTCTTCCGCGGTGGTCTCCCATCCAAATACTAACCAGGGCCGACCCTGCTTAGCTTCCGAGAGCTGACGAGATCGGGCTGGCCTGGACCATCCAGGTCAGGTAATGATAACTAGACTGGAATAAAATTTATGAAAGTTTCTAGGGAAGATACAAACCATACCAGCCTTTGTTACGTAGCTATATGAACAATACATCCTCGACACCAACAAACTAAGATGAACCGATAAAGGAAGGGCAGCTACACTAAGTGTATTAATATATCCTTGTATGATCATTCTAAGTCCTGCCCCAGGAACCCAGGCGTCTTTCCTCTAAGCTGAGTTAGTGTGAGCCAGCTCACAGTTTTTTAGCCTCCGGCTCACACATTTTTTGTCTTAGCTCAGGAAGGAAGGCTCCAGATCAAACTAATTTATGCAGCAGCCAAATTGCTCGCTCACCACTTTAATGCCAGTAGCTCACGAAGTAGAATTTCTGCTGACAAGACTCCACAGCTTAGAGGGAACATTGAATACAATACTGCTTAGTTTGTGTGCACATTTTGTAGAAGAAGAAAAAGAAGAGAAGAGATTGGATTTATACCCCGCCCTTCACTACCCAAAGGAGTCTTAGAGTGGCTTACAAACTCCCTTCCCTTCCCCTCCCCACAACAGACACCCTGTGAGGTAGGTGGGGCTGAGAGAGCTCTTGACAGAAACTGCTTTTTTTCAATAACAGCTCTTATCAGAACTACAAAAACAACAATACAGTCCACAGTAAACAATGACCGAGAAAAACCAATAAATAACAACTGTGCACTGACCAGCCCACCCACGAGCAATAGAAAAGAGACTTCAATACAATAAGTAATGCATGTAATCCATCATAGGATGATACACAAATACATAATATCCCAAAGGGAAAGAACAAAGTCCAGAATAACAATCTCTCATAACAATCAAGTCTGGAATAGATGTCCACAACAAAGTCAGATGTCCACCACTTTTCAACACTTTTCCTAGGTATAAATTAGTGTTTCAGACTTCAGGTCCTTCCACAGGAGCTATAAGCCAATACTGTAAGTCTCTAAGCAGTCTCTAAGCAGATTCTTAACAGGTACAAAATCATTCAGGTTTTATATGGGCCAGGTCTCCTAAATTCTAGAAAGCACCTACAAGGGTTGCTACTATGTAAGTTGGACCAAAATGCCTCCATCCTATGATGGATTACATGCATTACTTATTGAATTGAAGTCTCTTTTCTATTGCTCTTGGGTGGGTTGGTCAGTGCACAGTTGTTATTTATTGGTTTTTCTCGGCCTTATCAGAACTACGGCAGGCAGATCTGTCCTCCCAGAGGAGGGAGAGCTTGTACCTGAATAAAACTTGGTCTTAAAGGTGCCACTGGACTGTTTTGGACCGGGGGGCCGGGGGGAGCTCTGCAGCTTACCTGGCTGCTTCTTGTTCTGACTGAGGGCTGCTGGGAGCAGGGGGTGGGGCTTGCTGCATGTGCCCGCCCCCTGGGCTCTTTACTGCCGGAGCTCCGCTCCTGTGCGCTCCCTGCAGGAAATGACCCGTGGTTTCCACATGAGAGCAATAGCGATTCTCAGTGAAGAGCATTCACAGTTCAGAAGTTATCTCACTGTGGCATGCGAGACTGACAGGGACAATACGGAAACAAAGTCATCTCTGCACGGGCGCTCTGTTTAGCTCGAGATGTTGCTAGAGACAATAAGTGCAGACTCTTAATTAAGGTAATGTGTATTTGGCGTGTGCGTGGGGGAGGTGGAGAACAAAGAGCGTTATCTTCCTCTTTGAAATG